GGAATTAATTTCTCTTCCTTTCAAATTCAGTGTTATTTTGCTGCTCTTGCTCTTTTGGTGTGCTTTTGTTTTTTAGCTAGTGATTAACTTTTGATTTAGTACTACAGGGCGGTTGCAGACGTAGGATTTGACATGCACCGATACCAACCTGACGCTAGGGACACTCCATTAAGCTCTTTAGGTTTGAGAGAGGAGCTTGTCAAATGGTTTAGGAGGTTTTCTGCAGAGGACTCTGTTACTTTGCCTTGTGATACTGGCTGCCCAAGGGTAGAGACAGTAATTACTGCTAATGAAACAGTGTCTTGCTTTGTAGCTGCAAAACAGTTTAGATAAAAAGGAGAAGAAGAAGAAGAAAGAGAAGAAGAAGAAGCACAAGAAACATCGACGGCGCAGTTCTAGCAGTGAAAGTGACAGCAGTGATGAGGAGCGAAGCAAAAATAAGTATGTTTTGAGGTTTTGTAGTAAAAATACCATGTTTCCTGGTTAATTTGTTTGGGCTTTTGATGTCTTTTTCTAATCCTCTCTGAGTTTTATCTTTCTAATTAATGCTCTTAATTTGCCTAAGTGTTTCTATATGTTACTTCATTGATTTTTGCATCATTAAATTATTTTTACGACATTTTAATGTTGAAATTCAAGATTACAACATTATTTTACCTGCTCCAAAAGTATTATTCTGTTTTCTCTTCAGGTCTCAGAAGAGGTTGAACAGTTCCTCCTGGAAACCTGCTGCTTCCAAAGTCCCAGGATACGGCTTACAAGTAAGTACGTGTGTTTTGCACGGCTCTTTCAGCAGCAAGGGCCCCGAGTTGAGGAAGAGCAGGAGTTCTGGCAGTTTGGGGCAAGGCTACGTCACCGGCCAGAAGAGGATTACAAGGGGGACGTGATATGATAAAGTTCATATTCAATTTGGAGCCATTTAAGCCTTGAAACTGAAGTTGTTCAGATCCTGGTAGGACTTTTGTCTGCTCTGAATTGAGGTTAAGCTTTATTTAGTTTCTCTTCACAGACAACCCGTCTGTTCCAATACTCTGCATGACTCTCCTGGCAGTTTAGTTTACTGAACGTGATACAGAAATCAGCTTTTTTAGGCCCAGGTATTAAGAAGAACCTAGGAAGTGAAATAAGGGAATGCAGACCACAATGTCCACTCCTTCCTGCACTTACCCTAGCCTGAGGTCTTCGTGGCCTCGCGTCCTTGTTCTGCTCTGACAAAACGTCTCTCCTGAAAGACCCTTTTGAATTCCAGGTCAGAGACTCCGACCAGAGCCGCAGGTCTCGGAGCTCTCCAGCTGCCGGCCAGGAGAGGGCCCCCCACAAGCACCGGGATCGCTCCCGGTCCAGGAGCCCGTCCCGCTCTCCGCAGAGACGCTCTAGCAAGAAGAACTCGGAACAATCTGGGTGCAGGGGCTCACGGTCTCCTTCCAGACACAGTAAACTGTGAGTGTGGTGAACCTGGATAATGTA